CGACCTGTTCCCGCCAATGAATGTGCTAATCATGTATGAGAGTTGTTGTTCAATTTTCCCGCGCCTCATGCTGATTTGTTCTGATGTATGCAAAGCCCCTGCCCTCCCCCAAAAGTGTACTTAAGCACTGCTTGACCCCTCCCCGGGGCTCTGGGCTGCTCTCCCTTCTTGAGTGAGCCTAGAGCCTCAGCGTGCTGAATTGGATCCTCAATAAATCCCCTTCTACAATTGCATGAGTCAGTCTCTTGGTGGTCTCTTCCTCCGACTTTTCGCCGGACCCTTACAGTGACCTCTCCCAAATCAAAAGAAGGCCAGGGTCCTTCACCCCTCATCCTTCAGGGAACATTCCGGAATTCGAATACCTGACTCAGTCATGTGATTTACTTTCCATGGTGTTCATAGGATCCCATCCGACACTCTCCTCCCTGAGGAACACAGGTGCGTCTCACCCAATTGGCACTGAGGTAGTCCCTGATCGTGACTCCAACTGGGACTATGATTTGGCTGGAGGGATCACTGGTAGGAACCAATTCATTACCTGCCTCATGGCAGGACTAAGAAAATCAGCCCATAAAGCTATGAGGAACTCCAAGAGGTTATTCAGGACAAAAATGAATACCCCTCAGTATTCTTGGTCTGCATTACMAAGGCCCTTTTACAGTTCACCTACCCAACCCTGAAACCCCAGACAGGAGACAACCACTAATGACCCATTTCTTCTCCCAGAGCTTCCCCGACACGAAGGCTAAACTCAAACCCTAGAGAGGGCACCCTGACTCCTCAAGCAGAGCTTCTGGAAGTGGCTTTTAAGGTCTATAATGGGAGAGATGAGAAGAAATACCAGATGCTGGCCAAGGCCTTTCMACCTGCCCCAACCACTGGCACTTTGGCATCCCCACTCCCTAAAAGGCAGCCAGGGGGACCCCCTGACCCCTCCTTCAAACGTGGTCAAATGGGTCATGGGGTCAGAGGATGTCCGGATCTCCGAAAGCCTCCTGGGGCATGTTCCAAATGCCATCAGGAAGGCCACTTGCACCAAGAGGTGCAAGGCCACCCGGCTCTGATATCTTTCCAGTGGATCTTCTAGGTCTGGCAATGGATGACTGAGGAGGCCCAGGTCCCCTCACCCAACCACCACTTCTCAGGGGCCCAGGGTCACCATGGTGGGGGCAGGTGGTCCCGTCTCTTTCTTTTGGACACTGGAGCCACATAAGTCCTAAAGGAGTTTTGGGGACCTACTTATGTGRGGAGCCACTCCAAATGCACACCCCTTTAAGTCCTGATGCACCACGGGGATCTGAAGAAACCCTGTAGTCTGGCACAGTAGAGCCCTGACTTGTGACTCTTCCCTTGGTCGTTTAACAAGGCCTGGCCCTAGGAGTAGGCAGCACCCAGAGGTGTGGAGCTATACTCTCCTAATCCTTTGTAATCCTATCCCTTGCCTCATTTAAATGGCTTCTTCCCAATAAAAGTATTCAGCACGTCCTCCTCCTCACTCTTTTTCCACAGGCCCTAAGTTCAGAGGAACCATCACAAGACCCAAAKAAAAAGATATTTCTCTGTCTCTGGGAGATTATTTCAGGCCGCCCAGTTCACTTGGAGTGATCCTGAGTGTTTAGTCGTGCAGTGTGACATACTTCTCTTTCTTGTTCTTCTATTGTCACGCTGAATGACTAGCATTTTCTTCCCRTGATTGGTAGAGGCTCTGTCGGTCACTTTGGTAGTGATCTGGTCACTTTCGTAGTGGCCCTAGATGCTGCCCCAATCCTCGAGGTAGCAGAATGTGTCTTCATGCTAGGTGTGCCTTCCTACAGCCCCATGGATCAACTATGCTCACCTGTTCTGTTGTGCTATTACCCCTTTGCCCTGTTTGGGATAGAAGGTTTCATGGAAATGCCCTTTGGGTGCTGTGTGCCCACTTCTCTTGCTCTGCCTTTGGGCGTGGCCTTCCTAGATGTCAATCAACATGCTGGCAGGAGACATTACAAGCTAGAAACCTGACCCCTGGCCTCATTTGAATGGCTTCTCATCAATAAAAGGGTCAGCATGTGCTCCTCTCTCTTTTCTGCRGACTCTTAAGGTCAGAGGAGTTGTCAAAGGACCCCCCCCAAAAAAAAGCCATCTCTGTCTCTTGGGTGGTTATTTCGTGCAGCCCAGTTCACCTGGAGTGACCCTGAGTGTTTTTGTCATGAAGAACTCAACAGAGGACAGTTGACCAGCCCCTACCAAGACCTTGGCTTCTCTGCATGCTCCAGGGCATTGCCCTCTCCCACTCCTTCCCGATTCCCCGCTGTCCAGTTCCTCTTAGGCAGGGATCTCCTAGCCAAAGTTGGGGCCTCCATTACCTTAACTCCTGAGTCTCAGCTGGCCTTCGGTACCCCCCCTGCTGGTAGTCCAGACAAATTCCACGGATCCCTCTTACCCCGTGTCTGCATTAGAGATTCATCCCTCTATCTGGGACTTCCAAAAGCCCTCCACAGCCATCCGCCACTCTCCCTTGATAATACATCTCAAGGACCCCACCTATTTCGCAGTAGGACCCCAATACTCACTTTCTCTCCAGAGCCTCAGGGGTCTCAAACCTTTGATCTTCTCCAGAAAGGCCTCTGTGCCAAACGAACTCCCCTTTCAACACACCCAACCGAGCAGTCAGGAAACCAGACACTGCAGACTCATACAGGATCTTGCTTCACAATACAGCCGTAATCCCCTGTTATGCTCGTATTCGGGACTCCCAAAAGACCACCAATCAACACCAGCAAAGAGGTGTTGATGGTGAGCTAGCTCCGTCCTCCGAGTGCGCACACACAGCAACTGGTGATGCTGAGAGGCCCCGAGCCCAGGGTTTGCAGCAGTTTTATACACTCTTTGGAGAAGGCAGGGACCCCCACATACGTCATAGCAACTCTTAGCAAATCATCACACACCATGGGGAAAATCAAATCACAACTCTAAAACATGATTAGCACATTCACTGGCGGGAACAGGTTGGGTGGGGGTGATTGGTTACTACAAAAGGGGTATTCATTTGAACTGATGGGTTTAAGCCAAGAGGGGTGTTCATGCTGAATTACACATGGTTTCCCAACACCATAAACTACTGGGAAGGTCATCTGGCATCCCAGGTATTTCCCTGTCTCATGCTGATGGGTGGCTGCTGGGGGCTGCTATGGGTCCCCACCTAGCCTGACTGAGTCGGAGACACCTGGGGCAGCAGGTCTCATTTGTAGATAAGCCACTCAGCAGGGTGGGAATGTGCCTAGGAGTGCTCTGTGGGTCTTTCCAAGGACCAAGGTCATGTCCCTTTCCTTGGACAGGCTTTGCTGAGACAGAGGCTGGTTTTTCACCCCATTCACCCAGGAGTTCCCAGCCCACATCCCGCCTCTCCACCATTCCCTCACACATCACTCATTTTTCGGTTTTGGATGCCTTCTTCTCCATTCCCTTACACCCCAATTCCAGAACATTTTCCTCTTCACCTGGACAGACCCAGACACTCACACCTCTACCCAGTTAACTTGGACTGTCCCACCCCAAGGATTTAGAGATCGTCCCCATCTCTTTGGCCAACGGCTGCTCTCCTCCAAGGGCCAGCCTTGTCAGTCTGCCCCAGGTCACCCACAGTGAATCTCCTGCACAAGATTCAGGTGTGTGGTGTGCTCTTTGGACTGTGTCAGACTCTGCGAGTGTCCTTTCAGATGGATTACAGCAAAAGCTTGGCCCTCTGAACCTGCCTACAGCCAAATCAATCTGTTTCCTGCTGTCTCCAGGTCTTGTGGTCTGTCCCCACCACACCAGGGAGACAGCTGGCTCCTCTTTTCTAGCAGGCAGGAAGCGCAGTTGGTGTATTCTGTAACTCCCCTTACACACTTCAGGTCGCCTGGGCCACTCTTAGAGGAAAAGACTACGATTGTCAGTTTTGCATACGCGGTGGGGCCCTTTTTCCCTAGGGGACATTACGAGCTCCATTCTGCTCCCCTAACCTCGAGTTAGGAGACTCACGCGGGCACAGAAGCCCTCGGGCCAGTTGTCCCTTACCCCGGTAAGGGAAACGCAGAACCCGGTGTGGCAGGAGCCGGCCGCCCTGCAGAGGAGGGCCCGGGGTTCTCGGCCTCTCTCGCTCTGGGTCTGTAGCGCCCGTCCTTTCCAGATCAGCTCTGGGTCCTCTTCGTCAGGAGAGACGCATGGGGGACGCCGCTGTTTCCTGGCGGGATGCCACTGTCAATCCGCACCGCCCATGGCCCCTTCCAGCTTCCAACCCCGGGAACTTTCCGCTCGCGGCGGGAGCGCTCACGCTCCTGCCACCACCCAGATGGCCGCCAGCGCCTTTTTCCGATGCCACTACCAAGATGGCCGCGGCCCCAGGTTTCCGCCTCCGTGGGGTGGGGCCTGGGGACTTCAGCCCCGAAACACGCGAACCGGCCGCCGCCAATGAGAAGGCAGCGCGGGCTCGGCGAGCGAGCGCCTCGCCGTCCTGGCGCTCACCATGGCGGGCTCGCCGCCTCCGGGAGCGGCCGCGGGTTCCGCTCCGCTGCGCCGCCGGCGGTCCTGGGCCGAGCTGCTGGGTAGGTGGGCGGGCCCCCGCGGCCCGCGCCCCTTCCCCGGGCGCTTCCCCACCGCGGCGCCGCGGCTCCGGCCTGCGGGGTCCCGGCGGCCCGGCCCTCCGCCCGCTGGGCCCGGCCACCCCGGGGCGGTGCGCCCCGCGTCCCCCGGGCCGGGGGCAGGAGCTCGCCGGGTCGACGTCTGGAAACCGACTTTCTCCTTTTCCTCAGCGGGAAGAGTCAAGAGGCAAAAATATAACCCGGAAAGGGGACAGAGACTGACGGACTCGGCCGTGCAGCTCCTGCGACGCCACCAGAGCCTGAGTGACCTTCTGCTCGAGGTGAGAGGAGGTCGGCGTGGCCCGGGCTCGCGGCCGCCTGCGGGGAGAGCG